TCATGCGACCCACTGCACATGAATCATTTGTTTGTGCACTCGTCACTGTAGAGGCTCTGTAGTAACTCTAGCGGTTTATAATGGATGTTGGTAAAAGGCTATTCACTAATATCCAATATACCAATATACATTTGTATATCATTAATTTATTTCTCTGCGTTTGGTGTGAGCCTGGCACAATGATGTGACGTCACGCAAAAACCATCAACAAGCAGATTCGACTCGTAATGTTCAGATAAAACCATCAGCTCACTGCAGACCGCGCTGCTCTTAGACTTTCTGTCTGAATATCTAAACTTTACCAGGTGAATACCTGTAGACTCTGACAGACGAGCGCTTCACTTTAATCTCAATTCGGTTCGGCTTCCAGTAACAATAAACCTGACCCAAATATTCAGAATTAAATAATACAGTATTCCTATTATTATTAGTATTATTATTATTATTATTCATAATGTTATGAGTTTAATTCGCTATGGGTTAGCTTTAGTGAAGGGAGTGTGTGGCTCAGTCCATATCAAGCAGATATTCTTTGCATGACGACGAGCCGAGCGATACTTTAATATTAGCAGAAACTTCCACAGCGCCCTCTGGTGGAGTTACAAGCAATAACACATGAGGAAACGTGCCCCAGTGCGGATCTGAGATTGTCAAAAATAGACACGACTCAACACAAAAGGAAACATGATTGGTTGTTTTACCTGTTGTCATATAGTGGGCGGGGCTTGCCCATTCAAATTGCCAAAGCTCCTTCCGCCATCAGTCTAAGCTCTGGCTGCGCGAGACTGACTGAGCGCTGAGGGGCATCGGTTTATTATGAAGGAGATTCAGATATTGCTGGACACATTTCAGTAGATGCTGGATATTGCTTTGGACCCGTCACATCCGCCCATGCCAGATCTACACCCATGGAAATGAGAGCATTTCTCCTCCTCCATTGGCAGATTATTCTGTCTGCTTTAAGGAGAACTGATGAAGGAATGTCTGGAGATTTGAGGACTCTCACCAAGAGCAGCACTGCAGTTAAAGCAGATCAACTCAAAGTACTGCGAAAACCCGTCACCATAGAGACGCCACCACTGATGAGTCGACCGCTGGAGAGCACTAGAGCAGGTGTGTGTGTGTGTATGTGTGTGTGTGTTCTTCATTTTATATGTGTGTGTGTGTGTGTGTGTGTTCTTCATTTTATATGTGTGTGTGTGTGTGTGTGTGTGTATGTGTGTGTGTTCTTCATTTTATATGTGTGTGTGTGTGCGTTCTTCATTTTATATGTGTGTGTGTGTGTGTGTGTGTGTGTGTGTGTGTATATATGTGTGTGTGTGTGTTCTTCATTTTATATGTGTGTGTGTGTGTGTGTGTGTGTGTGTGTGTTTATATGTGTGTGTGTGTGTGTGTGTTCTTCATTTTAAATGTGTGTGTGTGTGTGTATGTGTGTGTGTTCTTCATTTTATATGTGTGTGTATATGTGTGTGTGTGTGTGTGTGTGTGTGTGTGTATGTGTGTGTGTATGTGTGTGTGCGTGTTCTTCATTTTATATGTGTATGTGTGTGTATGTGTGTGTATGTGTATGTGTGTGTGTGTGTATATGTGTGTGTGTGAGTGTATGTGTGTGTGTGTGTGTGTGTGTGTATATGTGTGTGTGTGAGTGTATGTGTGTGTGTGTGTTCTTTATTTTATATGTGTGTGTGTGTGTGTGTGTGTGTGTGTGTTTATATGTGTGTGTGTGTGTGTTCTTCATTTTAAATGTGTGTGTGTGTGTGTATGTGTGTGTGTTCTTCATTTTATATGTGTGTGTATATGTGTGTGTGTGTGTGTGTGTGTGTGTGTATGTGTGTGTGTATGTGTGTGTGCGTGTTCTTCATTTTATATGTGTATGTGTGTGTATGTGTGTGTATGTGTATGTGTGTGTGTGTGTGTATATGTGTGTGTGTGAGTGTATGTGTGTGTGTGTGTGTGTGTGTGTATATGTGTGTGTGTGAGTGTATGTGTGTGTGTGTGTTCTTTATTTTATATGTGTATGTGTGTGTGTGTGTGTGTGTGTGTGTGTGTGTTCTTCACTGTATGCTGCAGGATCGAGAGGCAGGTCTGGGTCTGCTGTTGATGGCCTGGATCTGCTGCTGGTGCTGCTGTCTCAGGATCTCCATCTTCTCGTTGTTCCTCCGCTCCTGCGCCTCCATCATTTGGGCCAGCTCCTGGTTTCTGCGGTCCTCCAGCTCCCTGTTCCTGCTCTGCAGCTGCTGGATCTCCTTGCCCATGCGCTGCGCCTGCTCCTGGAAGCCCTGCTCCAGCAGATGCGCCTGCTCCTTCAGCTTGCAGTCCATCGCGCGCTGCATGTGTGTCTGCTGCAGGCTGAGCTCTGTCTGCATCTGCTGCAGCATCTGCTGGATCTGCTCTTCATTGTTGCGCTGCTGAGTCTCCATCTGCTGCTCCAGCTGCAGCCGCGTCTGCTCCTGCACCTCCACCTGCTGCTCCAGGAGAACCGCCCGCTCACGCTCCTCTGCCGATGCACACACACGCACATAGGCACACACACACGCGCGCACACAAATTATTACAGATGGAGAAGAGTGTACTCTATCAGATTAAGCTGACACAGGCGCAGCTCTTTGCATGAAGTCGGCACTTTGACTTGTATTTCAGTGCAGACAACACAACAAACATTACTGATGTGTTCCTCGTCATTATTATTGCACACATATTCCAATTTTGGTTCTTGGCTTTTGGTTCAGTCCCTAAATGTCTGTTCTGTGTTGTGCAAAGGAACAGCAACACTACTCAGTGGGAAACGCTTCACAGTTTGGTTTTTGGAATGTGTTGCAGCCAAAACTGTTTAATTAAAAAAGACAATAAAATGATGAGGAGCACATTAATAGTGTTTGTTGTGTTGTCTGCAATGAAACAGGAGTCAAAGTACACTTGAAATTCACTACTTTATTTTTAATTAGCGTTTTCCACACAGTCACAGCTCTAT